CAGACACTGGTTGTGAGGGTATCGGTGCACCGTCGATGGTTGGTTCTGTGCGCACAGGAGACACATGTCGTGTCTGTGCAGAAACTGCCGCGGAGGCTGCTCCTGGAGATGTACGTCGTTGTTGTCCTGCTGAAGCTTGTGGTGCTTCGGCGGACGCTGCCGTCGGCCTGTGCGGGTCGGCTGCAGGTCGAAGGTGAATGTTGGTGTCGTTAGTGTGGTCGATCAGCTGATTCGTCCAGCTCGTCATGTCTTCTTGTATTTGACCCACCTTTTGGCGTGTGTACTCATCAGTATCCCGAGACCGTTGGGAATACCGATCAAGTCGATGCTCGCATGCTCGGAGACGGGCGCTTTGTGCCTCCACCTCGCTTTCCAGACGTGCGAGATAACTCTCAACACGTACCTTCTCAGTATCTCTTTCATGAATAACCTGGGAGAGCTCTAACTGCGTGTGGTCCGCCGCCTTCTCAACCTCCTGCAACCTGTCAGTGAGGCGGGCGAAATCGTAAACCGTGGGAGGAGAATCCAGCTGATCAGTCTGGGCTCGTCCGACACGCAACTCTGCCAGGGCGTCCTGTACACCAGGGAAACGCTGCTCTATGTCAGAGATCCGGTTAGCGAGTGGCTGCACGACAGCGTTGGTCGCATCAAGTCTTTGAGTGATGACTCTCTCAGTACGCTGCAACATGTCGATCAGGTTCGACGAGTTTGTGTGCTTCGGTACGAAGCGTCGCCGTAGTGTGGTCTAGGTAAGATCGAAGATCATTGATCTGAGACTGAACGTCGCCGAGGTCTGTGGCCTCGGTTGGGGTTGGTCGGTTACGGAGCTGGTCGTGGATCTCATCGTGTAAAATCCTGACCGCAGAAATGCCTGTGTCGCGTACGATCACAAGTTGTTGCTCCATCTGCGCGAGATAGTTGCGCAGGTTCTCGACCATCGCCGTTCGTTCACCTGAGTGTGACACCTCACGATCAACCTGGTACTGCAGTTCTCCTATGATGCGTCTATCTTCGGCGATCCTGGAATCGATGATCCCTAAGGCGCCGTCAAGATCGCGACGTATGGCTGCAGTATCAGTGGCGTTCGTCTGAACGCTCTGTAGTAGTCCAGAGTATTGGCTGGACACGAAGGTTTCAACCTGGTCTCTGAGCTCAGCTATGTCACCTGCGGCGGACGTCTCCGCCAGCTGGTCGTCTGAGATGGAGAGGTGGGGAGCGTCAGCTTCCCTGTGTCCCCTGTCGCGGGGAGTGCATGGCCTCTGAGAGGCAGTGCGCGAGCTCGACCTGCTTTCGCCGTATGGGCCTGGGGCTCCACGGCGGTTGCGCGCGGACGAGCTGCGACTCGGACCATGTGTGTGTGATGTCTCATCCGATGATACCTTGGGGTACCGCGTCTGTGGCTGTGCCGACACTGGTCTACTGAGTTCCTCGAAGGTAGCTACGTGCTCCGCCACAGGGACGGTCGCAGGGCTGGGGGTTCCAGCACCTGAGGTCCATCGGCGGTTAGCGCGGAAGCGCCCTGGAGTATCGAGACCGGTAAGGCTTTCGCCTGACGCGGTTGGGATTGCTCCCGACGGGGAAGGGGAGGGAGGATCAAAGGTCGGCGTGTGAAACTCCTTCCTTCCTGTTCCTACTCCTTCTCCTGTCCCCCCGCGGGCGGCGCTGCGGCGAAGTTCAGCAGCTAGACGCGCCTCGGGTCCTCGGGAGCTGGGGGGGGTATCGGGGACACCAACACAGTCCGCATTAATGCTCTCCAACTCGTCACCGAGCCGTCGCACCGTGGGAGAGCTTGGACGCGAAGCCCCAATGGAACCCTTACGGCGCATGCGCCGAAGCGGCTCCATTGGGCTCGCATGCAAGGTCACCGCGGGCGAGTCGGTGAAGGTGAGCGTTAAAGGGCTGATAACCTGTGTATGGGGTTGAAGTACAAGAGTACAGAACCCCTGATCCGTTGGTAGAGAGATGGAGGGATAGATGGATATCTTTCCCTCCCAAGCGATCAAGGTACGATCGCTCCAACTCAGTACCTGAGCCCAAACGGCCAGGTGCGGGAGAGGTAAGGATAAGGAGTATATATGAGGGTATTACACGGGTTCCATACACAGAGGGGGGTGGTCGATACTGGCCTGCTTGGGATGGTAGGTGTGCATCTTGAGGATGAGCGATGTGGCAGAATCGTGTGCAAATTGAATATCCCCAGAAGTGGTCGATAACTCCGGCCGAGGGAGGGCGGTGGATCCTATTCTCTTGTAGAAACAAGAATCTCTGCGACGGCGACAACGGCGACGGGCGGCACCGCCCGCAAAAGCCGCCAGTCGCCCCGAGTGGCGGCGACGGCGACGGCGACGGCGGCGACGGATGGCACCGCCCGCAAAAAACCGCCACTCGCCCCGAGCGGCGGCGACTGCGACGGCGACGGCGGCGACGGGCGGCACCGCCCGCAAAAGCCGCCAGTCGCCCCGAGCGGCGGCGACGGCTGCGACGACGGCGACGGCGGCGACGGGCGACACCGCTCGCAAAAGCCGCCACTCACCCCGATATGGTTAAGCCAAGTAAGAACCCCTAAGTGCAAGCACTGATTGGGGAAATGGAGAAATATTGATACAACGGGAATGCAAAGGAGACGAGCAGGGAAATAAAACGTGACATATCAAACCCGGAAAAAAAAACCCATGCCGTTTCGACGGCACTCCAAGCCCCTGCCCTTCTGCGCGGAACAAAGCACCCCCCTGGCGCGGTACACCCGACGCTGGCTCTGGACGTGCCCATCCATTGCAAGATCAGTTAACATCGAATCGGTAAACCGGGTCGGACCAGACCCTCCATGGCAGGGCCAGCTAGCACCAGATCAGGAAATCGGATCGGACCATCTATGGCAGGATCAACTAGCACCGAATCGGGAAATCATATAGGATTGGAACGTGCGTCTGATTCGTCCATGGGCCTCGGGCTCGCGTAACAAGATCACGTCGATGGTCGCAGTTCGATAATCGAAGATCGATTTTTTTGGTCGTGTTCAGGCCCCCCTGGGCGATCGATGTAATCCCCCAGAGCCCGTACGGCGAGAATGTGCGTCGGATCGGGTCGCATCGGCACTTCGTCGGAATCAAACTGAATCGGCCGCGCCAGGATGCACAACAGAGCCATGCAAGCGTCGGGTAGCGTCGGATCGTCGGAGTGTAGAAGACACGTTCGATAATAAGTATCCCAGTGCGACCCTACCTAGGAGTTGGAGCCCCTAGGAAAGCAGCATTAGTAGTAACAGTAAAGCTAAGCTAAAGCTAAGAAAAAGCTAAGCTAAAGCTAAGCTAAAGCTAAGCTAAAGCTAAGCTAAAGCTGAGCTAAAGCTACGCTAACACTAAGCGAACGCTAAGCTAGAGCTAAGCTAAAGCTAAGCTAGAGCTAAGCTAAAGCTAAGCTAAAGCTACGCTGAAGCTAAGCTGAAACCAAGCTAAAGCTAAGATGAAGCTAAGCTAGAGCTAAGCTAAAGCTAAGCTGAAGCTAAGCTGACGCTAAGCTAGAGCTAAGCTGAAGCTAAGCTGAAGCTAAGCTAGAGCTAAGCTAAAGCTAAGCTAGAGCTAAGCTGACGCTAAGCTAGAGCTAAGCTAAAGCTAAGCTAAAGCTAAGCTAAATCTAAGCTAGAGCTAAGCTAAAGCTAAGCTAGAGCTAAGCTGAAGCTAAGCTGAAGCTAAGTTAAAGCTAAGCTGAAGATAAGCTAAAGCTAAGCTGAAGCTAAGCTAGAGCTAAGCTAAAGCTACCTAAACCTAAGCTGAAGCTAAGCTAGAGCTAAGCAAAGCTAAGCTAGAGCTAAGCTGAAGCTAAGCTGAAGCTAAGCTAAAGCTAAGTTAAAGCTAAGCTGAAGCTAAGCTAAAGCTAAGCTAAAGCTAAGCTAAAGCTAAGCTAAGCTAAAGCTAAGCTAAGCTAAGCTAAAGCTAAGCTGAAGCTAAGCTAAGCTGGGTGAACCCAGGGGGCGCAACTGGGGGAACCGCGGGGCGGGGACTGGGGGAACCGCCCGGGGCGATTTCCATTGCCCGGCCCCTTTAAGCTAAGAGAGTAAGAACCCTTCTAGGCAGAGCCTAGGTAGGGAAAAAGTCTTGCTGCAAGAATTAGTGGGGCACGCTCCTCGTGGATCTCTGATGTGCCCACGCTGCCTCACAGCTCCTGTGGGCTTCTGGGGCCACAAGACATCTCCGCGCGGCATTTGCTGGCAGGCCGCTTTCTCATTGGACGGCGCCAGGAGCGGCGCCCGAGGCGCCGCCAGGGCGGCCCCAGCGCCGATCCACGAAACCCGCGCGGACCTCCAACAAATCATGTGCATGCCATTCTCTCTTCTTCGATCCGCGCCCCGCCTTGGCGCGCGTCATCCTCGCGCCCTCGCGGCGCCTCCACCGAGTGGAGCGGCCCGCGGCCCCGGGCGGCGGCCCGCGCGGAAGGTTCTCCTCGCGCCCCCCCGCGCGGGCGAACCGCACAAGAGAACAGCGCCCGGGCACCGTGCCGCTCCTGGGTCGCAGAACGACGACGCCTCGGGAGATGCCAACGCGGCACGGTGCACACAAGTCGTCCGCGGACTGGGGGCCTCGTGTGGCCAGCAAGGACGCCACACGAGCAACGAAGGGGCGTTCCCGGCCACGGCGGGCTCCGGCTACGAACAGGCTCATCCGCCCAGATCTCAGGAACGGACCGAAAACCAGAGCCCCCCCCCCCCAAGACGCGCGATGTCTTGATTTTTGTTTCCATGCGGGGACCCTGGAGCTCTGGCCCACTTCCCAGGGACGACCATTTGGTCACCCCGTTGTTTTTTGACGGTCCCGAGTGCTGGCGACTGCCCTTGGAAACCGACGACTGCCAAAAACATCCCGTCGTGTGTTTTCGCGACGCAAACATGTCTGGGATGTCAGCGTCTTGACTCTATGGGCGAAGACGATAACCTGGCCGGGGGGGCGGCTCGGGGTCTGCACGGCCTGGCTCGGTGCGGGTGTGTTTTGCGCTCCCTGGGCGACCCCTTCTCTTGAGATCGTGAGGCCAGGCACCCGCTTGAGCTCCTCTGGGTGGAACGGTTCCTCCTCCTCCTCGTCCTCCTGCTCCTCCCCCTCCTCCTTCACATCCTCCTTTACCTCCTCAACCCCATCCCCCTTCCCCGGCACCTCCGGATTCACCTCTCTCGCCCCACCCCCCTTCTCCGAAACCTCCTCCTCCTCAACCAGCCCTTACTCCTCTCCCCATCCACGATCACCGTCATGTCCTTTGTTCCTCGTCCTTTTCCTCCTGCTCTTCCTCTTCCTCCTGACCCATTGCCCTCTTCACCTGCTCCTGCGTTCTCCATCAGCATCACCCTCTCCACCTCTACGCTCAGATCAGCGCCCTCCTCCATCTGAACGACGTCGTCGTGGTCGTCGTCGTCCTCCTCCTCCTTCTCCTCCCCTCCTCCTCCCCGTCCTCGCCCTCCTGTTCCTCTTCTTCTTCCTCGTCCTTCGCTTCCTGTTGGTCCTATAGGTCCTTGGCGTACCACGTCCCGCTGTTGCAACACGTGGCACAAACATGGGGGAGCACATCGAACAACACAACTGACAGGGATCACGCTCACATGAAAGGGGAAGATCTGCCAAATCCCTGGCCAAATTAGGTGTCTATTACACCTGTGAGGGAACTCGACGAGTGGTTCGCAGCCTTATTCCCAGGCCCGTTGCCACACGGTCTAGCGATGGGGAGGTGGAGGATCACCGTCTTAGTGCCGAGCGCCCCACCGACACTGCACCGCACACGACCTTCAGCACCGCTTCGAACTCTATGGGAGGGGTGAGCCACTCGGTCGGGTGTGGGGAGACCAGTGCCCGGAAACGTGGTTATCGCGCCTCTCGACCGTTGTCGAATTCCACATCTGACACAGGCGGGTCTCTTACCGACCCTGATTAGCTCATGCCCGTTCGGCTCGGACACACACTCCACATGATCAGGAGCTTTGAGCCGCTGGGCTCTACACTGTTCAGCACCGTTGAAATTAATCTGGACAAGCCTCCTGGTCCCCGCGATCAAAATGGCACGGCCCCGGATCTGGAAATCCTGGGCCTTGAGCTCGTCCAGAAGTTGTTTGGGGACGGGGTGCATTTGGGCTCCTAACTTGGCTAGCCTATCGGCATCTCGGTTGCCTCTCAAGCCCCACAGGGCACAACCTCGTGCAGATGCCGGATGGCTCCGAATTCTCTCGGCCGTGAGCTGCGCAGCTATATCTCCACTTCCGAGAAATCCCGCGCCAAAGCTCAGCGTGAGTCACGTGGCCGAGAGACTGATCAGGACCGCCTTGCCAAATGTCGACTACCATCTGGCAATCACGCGGAACAGTGATGGGCTCAACCCTTCCATTGCGGATCAGCAAAAGGAGGGCATATACTTCGGCACGGCCAGACTGCTGGACAGGGCGGGGCAAGGGTCCGCATGTCGCCCCGTCCCAGCCTCCGCGTCGGCCAACTTGGACCACGCCCCATCCAGCCCTCTCTAACGCGAGGTCCCACAAGGAAAAAACGGAAACGCAATTCGCGACAGCGCCGCTCAACGCCGGGGAAAGCGCTCCAAACTTGAGAGACGTCCAAAGGGGGGAGGTGTTCTCAAACGCTAGACTGGGGGCCATGCATCGGCTGGTGCTGACGTCGCATGGCGAAGCCTGTTCGAAATCCGCGATCGCGCCTGGAACGTCCAGCTCTCTCCGCGCCCGCCGCGCGGCTGGGCGCCCGACTATCCTGCGCCGCGGCGTTCCGAGGTCGCCGCGGCGCTTGCACTTCGGACTCATTGCCCGTCGATCCGTGAACGCAGTGCTCTGGGTGGGGGGGCCTCCAGCGACGGATCCTTGAATAAAAACAAGGCCAGCTGCCCCTGGGAACGACGCTGTCTCGGGTCGAGACGTCGGTCGCGGGCCTCGGGCGGGGGGGGGGGGGCGGGGGCGGCGAGATGCCCCCGTTCGCGTCGGTGCGCTCGCGGCTCCGAACCAGCGCGCCTGCGAAGCCAAAGGTCACCGAGGTCTTCAACTAATTCTTTCCCATGCTACCGAAGTCCGGAACCCTGTCCCGGACGCGCTGCCAAACAATCGGGCGCTGGGCCGCCTGGCCCATTCGAGCCATGGCACAGCGGCCGCTCTACCTGGCCCGCGGACCTGCGCACGCACAGAACCTGGAGTCTTCAAGGCAAATTCGAAGATGTTGGACATGAGACCCCTGGGCCACCGCTGCTCGAGCGGCGCCTGCGCCCGAGACTGGAAGGGGGGTGGCCTGAAAGGCGGGGCCCAGGGCGGGGTCGGCGCGGGGCAAGAGATCGCGGGCGCGCGGCGATCTCTCATCGAGATGCACCGATCGCGCTTCGAGCGACGACTGCGCGCAACTGACTGAGCCTCTTGCTGGGTGCTCCATGCACGCGTGCTCCATGCGCGCCTACAGGGGGGGGGGGGGGCTGTCTCTGGTGCCCGCTTGTCGCCCGTCGCCGCCTGGCGGAGGGCGCGGAACCGACGATCGCGAGGCTGGAGCTCGCCGATCCTGCCGAGATGGGCCTTCGCCCTTAGGCGGCCGCGCACGCGAAAATCAGACCGAATATGTTGGGTGGATTGGCTGCGCCTGAACTTCCAATGCTTCAACTTCGAAGCTATGTCTTTCGAGGTCAGTCCATCGGAGGCCGCGGCAAACCCCCGTGGTCCTGGACGAGACACGGCACGTCCGTTTGAGCTGCTGCCAGTGGAAGAATCTTGACAATCCGAGCCCTGCAGCAGCAGGAATGGCCGTGGCTGCCATGCGCGACGTGACGCCGACCACCGCGTCAAACACATTAACGCACCTTGAGGTCGAGGGCATCGAAGAGGAAGACCTCGGGGAGAGCGGTGGCCAACGTGCACCCAGCGTGAATAGCCGCGCTAGCATGCCCCCCTTGGGGGCGCACGTTGCCCTGCGACAGGTCTCTGCGACCGCGGCGACGCGCGAGGAAAAAAACGAAGATGAAAACGCTGAAGTCGCGCTTGGTAGCGGCCCAAACCAGGAGGGCGCGGGATTTTTTTGCGCGCGCCTGGGCAAGGTCGAGGAGGAAAGACGAGAAAGCAATGCCAGTGTTCTGAGCAATCTCTCCTAGCGCCGATTTCCCCCAGACTGCGCGCTCGCGCGAGCGCCCAGCGCTGCCGTGGAAATGGCATCGCCTGGGGGGCGCTTTCCAAAGCCGTCGCTGCGCGCCTGAGCATCCGAGGTATCGCTTTGCTGAGGGCCGAAAGCAGCCCGATTGGCCTGCGCCCCCCCTCTGGTCTATCAATCATCGCGATGACGATGATCTTCGCAAGGCCAGGGGCGCGCCGAACTTCAGGGTGGCCTCCCAGAGGCCAACAGTGCCCAAAATATAATCGTCACTGACAAGGAGGAGGCCCCGAGGGCGAACGCAATCGCTGCCCGGGGCCGTCCGGGTCAAGAACTGTGTGCAGCGGCGACGGATGGGATCTGGGTCGAAGTGCCAGTCCACCATGCGGTGCTCGCCACTGATGCGGTCGCTTAAGCGGCTGGCGGGGTCTTTCTCGGAGGTATCTCCCCCGTGAATATGCCATATGTTTTAATTCGGTGGCAGGCTTAGACAATGCCTGCCGGGGTCCTAGAGGGGCCCGGTCGGGGGCCGAAGGGGCCGGGGGGGGCCGGCCCGTGGAAGTTTTCGCGCAGCGGCGCCCGCTCACCCCCGTTGTCAACGGCTTCTTTGACAGAACTTCTCCTAGCAGACTGGCGCGATGAAGCCTGGGCGCGCTCGAACATGCCGGCCCCGCCGCCGGCGGAAGCCCGGTGGCGCGGCGCCCGCGCAACGGCTTCCTGGAGCACAGCGCGAGAAGGACAATAGGCGATCGGCTCGCGGTTGTCCCCGAGGAGATGGGGGGCCTCGGGCGACCTCGTTCACAATGAACTGAGCATCGGAATCACGCCAAGACGCCCCTGTAGTTTCAACGCGCTGCAACTCCAGAATCCAAATGCCGAGCGCCACCCCCAAACCAGAGCACAACGCGCAGATGGGGGCCGCCAATGGTTTGGATGACGGGCGCACTCTGGACCCCAAGGACCCGGGACCCAATTGCCCCCGCATTTCTCCCACGGCTCCTGGGCCGAGCGGAAGACCTCGCGCATTTCGGCCTCGTGGAGGCCCAGGGGCTCCGAGAGGAAAGAAATGGAAGTGCTGAGGGTCCGCTGCGCCCTCGCGCCTCTCGGCGAAAGCGCCCTTGTCCGCCGGTTCAGAACGTGGCCCATGAAGTGAGTCGGCGCGGTCTCGATGGGAACACTTGGGGCTGACCAGGGTCGGCGCGCGGGGCAGGGCAACCTTGCGGCGCGCGGTCAACTGGGCCGCGTCGCAGCTTCAGCTTTGAGGCTTTGCCACGGCGAGCGCCGATGACAGAGCGAGAATAGCCCGGCGACGCCAGCGAAGCGCGCGGGTAGGAAAGGGGCGCGTATCTAGAATAGCGCGCAGACGAGAATCCCAACCGCACTCACGCATCCCTTGAAGAGTGCAGTTCCTGTCTCCGCCCATGATGCACGGCGACCCCCGCCCGTGCAACAGTTCGCCAGGCCCGGCTAGATGGCGCCCTTCGGTCCCAGGGGCCTCGCCCCCCGTCGGGAGGTCCAGCGAGGCGGCCAGGAGACCTCCAGGGATATGCGCTAATCCCATGAAGGCTCGGCAACGCTGGAATTCTAGACCAGGGGGTCGGCCCACGCCGAACGCGCGACGACATCCGACGCCGAGTCCACTCGAAAGTCCACCGTCCTGGGCAATCTCAGACGCCCTGAGACTGGTTTGCCAGCCCAATGGCCCCAACTTTGATTCAACCCCATCATTCTGGAAGGGGGCTCAACCAATCTCCGGGGGCAGGACTACATCGGCGCCTCGCTCTCCAGTTGAAAAACGACGAAGGGGATCCGAACCTGAAGAATTCGCAGATTTGATCACAAACCCCTCTCTGAGCTTCACGGCCCTGCATCTTAGGTTGGGAAGAGGAAGGAGGCGGAGGCGTGGTGGAGGGCGCAAGAGGAGAGGGGGTCTGAAAGGCCCCGTACCCCCTGATCGGGACGGGCCCCTGACGGCTCATCGGAGCGCTCGTTGGTGCCAGAGGGGCCTTCGATGTCATCTCGGGTTGCCCCCCAGATTGCAGGGCTCAGCCGAGCCGCGGGTCGCCGCCCGGGCGCGGTCGACCTGGCGGGGGATGGGGAAACGCCACAGGCAGCTTGGCGGTCAGAGGAACCAGGATAGCCGCGGTGACTCAGCCTCCATGTCAAGGGCCGCCTTGGCGCGCGCGAGAGGGTCAGACAACTGATCGGATGGGCTCGATGCACCTGCCGCCTCAGAGGCTGCAGCCTCCGTCGCAGGGGCCTGGGCAGGAGGCGCCTCGCCGACTCCTGCGCCCTCGCCCTTGCGTTTCTTCTCGAGCCTCTCCGGATGCTCCTTGTGCTGCGCCGCCAGGGGCCCAGCCTTCTCACGCGCCGAGCTGGGGGGTTCTCCATGACGGACTTGGGTTTTTTTTCCGCAAGCAAACGCTTGCGCGCTTGGAGCTGGCTCTTGTCGGGCGCGTCCAGCGCCTGCATGTCGCCCAACCCGAAACGACTCTCAGCACAAACTGACATGTCTTGGATGTTCCCGTCCAAAATATCATTGATGCGCAACTTTGCCACCTTCTGATGCTGCTCCTTATTGCCAAGCGTCTGAGCATGCAGTGTGGCCAAGGCGCAAAGGTTAGCCCGCCGTCCCTGTCTCCACTTTCGCGAAAGGGTCTGCCACCAGCCTGCTGCTCATTCTCTACCTAGGCTCTGCCTAGAAGGGTTCTTACTCTCTATCTTAAAAGGGGCCGGGCAGTGTAAATCGCCCCAGGCGGTTCCCCCAGGATCCGCCCCGCGGTTCCCCCAGTTGCGCCCCCTGGGTTCACCCAGCTGAGCTTAGCTTAGCTGAGCTTCACTAACCTCATAGCTTAGCTTAGCTTAGCTTAGCTGAGCTTAGCTTTGCCTGGCCTAGCTTAGCTTATCTCACCTTAGCTTAGATTGGCTTAACTTAGCTTAACTTAGCTTAGCCTAGCTTAGCTCAGCTTATCATAGTTTAGCTTGCCTTAGCTTGGCTTAGCGCAGCATAGCGCACAGCATGGTATAGCATAGCCAAGCATAACATAGCATATCATAACATAGCTCATCATGTCATAACATAACGCAGCATATCATAGCATATCATAGCTCAACATATCACATCCTAGCACAGCACACCATCGCATAACGCATCATATCATAACATGGTATAACATAACATATCGCAGAATATCATATCATAGCATCGCCTAGCCTACCATAGCGCAGTATATCATAGCATATTATTGCATAGCATGGCGCAGCATAGCATAGCATAGCAAATCACAATCAAAACCAACAACAAACGCAACCCAACACAAGCAGCACCATCAACAACAAAAGCAAGGACAAATGCACAATCAAAGACACGAGCAAACACAAATGCAGTGCACACCAAAAGCAACACCCATGCGAACTTGTAGATGTATGTGTAGATGTAGGTGTAGGTGTAGATGTGGATGTAGGTGTAGATGTAGATGTAGATGTAGGTGTAGGTGTAGCTATAGGTGTATATGTAGATGTAGATGTAGATGTATATGTGAGTCTCACTGTTGATGTTGATGTTGATGCAGATGCAGGTGTAGATGTTGATATAGCTGTCGGTGTAGATGTAGATGTTGCTGTTCTAAATGCTCAAACTCCTAGGTAGGGTCGCACTGGGATAACCCCTCTTCTTGGTAAGGTACTCGAGCTGGGTAGCCGTATCAAGAAGCTGCTTCTCCATTTGCTGTAGATTGGAGCGCGCCTCTCCTGCCACATCGTGGGCCGCTATGGCTGGCTGCGTGCGGCGGGATCCCTCCTGCCTGCAGGAAAGAGTGAGCTGGGTGATGTTCGTCTTCTGTCCCTGCGCCTCCATACCCTGCAGCTCGCCATCTGTGAGGCTCTTGAGGTCGTGGCCGCCGCAGCCTCCGACACCAGAATGAGCGCCCACAGCAAGAGGAGCAGGACGGCCAGGAGGGGGGACGCTCGCCCTGGGAATCTGGACCACCAGCGGGCTCGTACGACCGCACCTCGCCTGATGATCGCGGCATCCCGCAATGTGTGCACCAACTCCAGCCTGCCTTGTCTGTGCCGCGCCTGCACGTGCACGTCCAGCTTGCGCCCGACATGTCACGCCAATCGCTGCGCGTGCTACTGGAATGTTCGCCGGCGACGCCGCCACCCTTCGACCAATCGCCACTGAGCGCCACGACTGCAAGCACCACGGGCGAAAGGAGGGCGTCTTCCTGCTGGGTGAGCCTTTGGCGCTCTCGGGAGGGGGTGCGTGAAGGCCCTGTGCCTGGCTGCTGCTCGAGCCAGAACGGCTTGAGCCAAGTTTTCTACGGACCCTCCTCCTGCTCCTCCTCCTCCTCCTTCCCCTTCTCCTCCTCCTCCTCCCTCTCCTCCTCCTCCTCCTCCTCCCTCTTCTCCTCCTCCTCCTCCTCCTCCTCCTCCTCCTCCTCCTCCTCCTCCTCCTCTACTGCCACTTCGTCCTCTCCTCAAGACGGTTTGTCATCGCCGACGTCACCCTCGCCGTGGTCGTCAACGCCAACGTGGTTGTCGACGACTTAGCCGCCGCCGCCGTCGTCGTTGTCGCTGCTTCCGCCACCGCAGCCGCCATCGTCAGCATAATCATCAACATCAGCATCAGCACCAGCATCAGCATCAACATGATCACCAGCATCAACATCAACATCATCATCATCAACAATCGTCGTCGTCATCGCCGCCACCACCGCCGTCGCCGCCACCATAGTAATTATCATCACCACCACCGTCAACTGTCAGCATCACCATCATTATCATCGTCGTCACGATCGTTGCCACCATCATCATTACTGCCATCATCGTCTTCATCATCACCACCACCATCGTCATCAACGTCATCAGCACCATTATCAACATCATCATCATCATCATCATCATCATCATCATCATCATCATCATCACAATCATAGCCATCATCACCATCATCCCATCGTCACCTTCAAGAGTACCATGACCGTCAACAACACTATCATCACCATAATCACCATCATAACCACCACCATCACCACCGTGACCACCACCACCACCACCATCACCATCGGCGTCGTCGCCATCACCACCATCGTCAGCAGCATCACCATCGTCACCAGCACCACCACCGTCACCGTCATCACCATCGTCGCCATCGGCATCGCCGCCGCAGTCGCCGCCGCCTTCGTACTCACCGCCGCCGTCGCCGCCGCCGCCATCTTCGTCGTCGCCGTCGCCGCCGCCCGGCCCTCCAACGCCTCCGGGCCCAGCCGGAAGACGTCCGGCTCGAACACCTGGGGAAACCAAAAGGTACCGATACCGCTACTCCACGGACCTCTCCCGGGGTGCGTTCTGACCAGGATTCCGAGGCGAATCCAGCGGTGGCGACGAGGGCCTCGCAGGAGGCCCCACAGGGGGAAAACGAGGGAAGGGAAGTGGTGTGGGTACCTCTTCCTCCTCTGAAGGAGGCCAACAAGGGCAGTGGTGTGGAAACGAGGGAAGGAGGCCAACAAGGGTAGTGGTGTGGGTGCCTTTTCCTCCTCTGAACACCAGCCCAGCGGGAGGCGCGGCGGCCTCCACGCGCGGCGCGCGCGACGGCCGCCGCGCGGCGGCGCCCGCGGGCCCGGCCGGCCGCCCCTGCGGCGGCTGGAGCGCCCGCGGGAGGCAGGCGGCCTCTGCAGGGCGGCGGCAGCCACGACGGCCGCGTGCGCAGTGGACTGCAAGCAGGTCGCATAGCACCCAGAGATCCAACGCATTGAAAAAATCAAGACGGGTTTTTTTCCTATTTTTCGGTCTCTGGGGGCCCTCGCCGGGCCTCGGGACCGTCAAAAAACGACTCAGGATGAGAAACCGGTCCTGGGGAATGGGTCGAGACTTTCAGGGAATCTGTATTGAAAAAATCACGACGTCGGATCTCTGGGTAAGGATGCGGGGTAAGGACGCGAGGGACTCGGGGGGCAACGCTGGCGGTTTCGAGCGGGGCTGACCCGCAGACGTCGCCAAGCGCGGGCCGAAGGGGCAAGGGTGCAGGGGTAGCCTTGGGAAGTGGCGCATCCTTGCTATGCGGGATGCGCGGCAAGGACGCAAGGGCCCCGGGGGGCAACGCTGGCGGTTTCGAGCGGGGCTGGCCCGCAAACGTCGCCAAGGGTGGGCCGAAGGGGCAAGGGTGCAGGGGTAGCCTTGGGAAGTGGCGCATCCTTACTATGCGGGATGCGCGGTAAGGACGCAAGGGCCTCGGGGGGCAACGTTGGCGTTTTCGAACGGGGCTGGCCCGCAAACGTCGCCAAGGGTGGGCCGAAGGGGCAAGGGTGCAGGGGTAGCCTTGGGGCGATGCTCATCCTCACTATGCAACTTTACTGCAACTGCCAGACCACCCAAACCGAAATCACAAAGTTCGGGTTTTGGGGCGTACGGGTTCCATCTGTGCTTTCACGATGTTCCGGGATGCTTACCCTCCACTGGGAACGGAGGGCATCTTGGGGCCTCCAGGTCGGGTCGGGGTCGTGTGGTGGGCAGTAAGCCTGAAAGTTCCTGGACATCTTTCTTTGTCACTCAATCGATCATTTTGTGCAGGGTCCGGTGAATGTTCAAACTGCGTCGGAAACCTCGGTCGTTGTCAGACCGTGTGAAGAATATGATCGTCACATCTGCCTCAGGCAATACAATGAAACACTTCCTCACAATTCAACATCACCAATGCCGTCTTTTCCAAGACGGACTTTCACATTCGCTTCAAAATGCAGACCCCACTTGATCGGCACAGCGCAGCCCAACTTAACCCTGGCAACGTAGCCCGGCTTTGCCCGACAAATGGAGGCCAGCCTTGCTGAGGCTAGAGACAGCCATACGGATACACCTGGCCCCCCATAGGGGCCGAACGTTTCCATGTCCACCGCCTGCCACCACTCAGCGAACGAAGATCGGCACGATATAACTTTTCCCATTCGGGAACGCCTGCCCCAAGCTGGCTGGAACGTTCATGCCCCACGGTGGCACGGAGGACAGAGGCCCTTATGCACATGCACCAATCCTGGTCAGGCTCACCCTGGATGGGTGCGTGCGCCCTTCTGGGCGACGGCCAAGAAAGCGGTCCCTGCGGGACGGCGGAAGCCACCCACCGCGAAGCAAGGTCCTGAGGGATTCGGGTCCTGAGATTTTTGGGCAACTCGGGCCTCCCTGGGCCATCTCACACATGGATTAAGGGGGCGTGGATTCGCGACGGGTCCCATTTCCATGGGAAATCGCTGATTTCAGCCGCCGAACGAGGCGGCACCGGCCGCATTTTGGGGGGGGACCTCCCCCGATCCATGGATTTGGCGACAGCGCGCCTAATCCATGTTTGCGCGCCTCCGATGCCTGGAAAAGTACGCAGGACGGAAAAACTGTCCTGGGCGGCGGCAACCCCAGATCCCCTCGAGTCGTGAACAGGAGCCCGGCGGGAAATCTTCGGCACCCTTCGGGCCCCGGGGGCCCTCAGTGGGCCTCTGGGCCGTCAACGAACTGGTCCTGGGGCAGGGGTCAAGACCCTGGGGTCCACGCTGCGACCAGAATTGCGACGCCGCGTCTGCGGGACGGCGGCAACCACGACTCGGGTGTTGTCAAGGGTGCCCCTGGCCCAACGTGGCCATACTTTTCCGCCATTGTGGACGCCTGTCCCAAGGCGGCAGAGGAGCTTGTACCTTTGCAGGGACTCGTCGGGCTAGACAGCTGCAAGACGCCCTGGGACAAACGTCCCCGACGATGGGAAGACAATTCTCCTGATTTTCGTCCGCTTAAGCATTGAGCGGACGAAGACCAATATGCCATACTTACATAAACTCGTCCGCGCAAATCCACCCCCCCCCGGATCGCGAACAACATCCCGACAAGAGGTCTTCGGCAATTTTCGGCCTCCGGGCCCCGGGACCGTCGTCAGAAAACGGCTCGGGATAAAAAACTCGCCCCAAGTCAGGTCAGGTGTGCCTTGCACCAGACGGTGCGTGAGCAGGGTGGAACAAAAAACGGTCTCTTGATCACGTTAAGGTGACGCAGAAGAGGAGGATGAGGAGGATGAGGATGAGGATGAGGATGAGGATGAGGATGAGGAGGAGGAGGAGGAGGAGGAGGAGGAGGAGGAGGAGGAGGAGGAGGAGGAGGATGGGGGAGGAGGAGGAGGAGGACAAGGACAAGGACAATGACAAGGACAAGGACATCCGCGTAGCGGGGTGCAACGTCAAGACACCTACGGTGGTGTCTAACGCACTTGTGCCAAAATCCCCTGCGATCGGTTGTGCAACAGCCTTGCCTTCTCACTAGGGCCGGCGGGGGGCCCACCTCGTTGCTCAGGGACTGAGCTCCGAGGTGGCCCCGTAAGAGAGGCTCGCTACCTTACGTTCGCGAATCCCTGCGAGTCAGTGCGGGGGGAGTTGCTGCCGGCCCTTCCGCGTGCCTTAGGGGAGGGGACGCGCGGACTTAGCAGGGCGCCCAAGCCAGGGGGGAGGAGACGACGACACGACCGCTCAGAAAGAGGAGGGGGGGAGAGGGGCGGGATGCCCGTGACCCCAAACTGTTGCGGGGGGGCTGCTTATTCTTTTGTTTTAATTGTATGCCCCCCTTTCCCGCTCAGCTCACCTCTCGGTGTGGCCGGGAGTTGCCCCATGCGTTCTCGTATCTGTACTCTGATACCCTGTTGTAGCATCCCACCGATCCCCCTCGAAGTGTATATGGGATGGAGCAAACTGGCAGTCACGGTGTATTGTAGGGCCATCGAGGAAGCACAGTGGTGGACTTCATGCTGATCACTTTCTTCCCTTCGACACCCTGCAGTAATGTACCCCTCCGTGCATGACAGTGCGAGCACTTCGCGATGCCCATCCTGCATGCCCCGCGCTGCACTCCGAGAAAACTCGCTAGTGCACCTCATGGCTGCCTGCGGGCTCGTCCAGCTTGCCCAGAGTAGCATCCCGAGAAAACCTCGCTAATGCTGGCTCCAGTGGGTGCATTCACTGGCGGCCGCTGGAGGAGCTGGCCGTGGTCGTCTCCTCCGACTTAGGGTCGCCGAACTTTGCCTCGACGATCTCGGTGCCATCCAGCAAGGTCTGCGTGCTGTCTCTCAGCTTCTGGCGCTCCTTGAGCCTCTTCACTTCCTCTGGGTCGAGATTGTCCTCGTTGCTCAGCTCCTTCAAGGCGACATTCGTGACTTTGTGGAGGTTCTCTTTGTCGTTCTGCGGTGTCTTCAGCGCCAGCTTGCGCCGGCTCTGCGCAGTCAAGGCTTTCCCCCCTGCTCTTCGTCCACAGGGTACCTGTCGATGAAGTCGCAACCAGTGGCCTTGTGCGTCATCGGGAGGGACGCGGGGGTCAGCTCGAAAAGCTCCTCTGGGCTCATCTTCTGGGCGGCGTCGCAGAACTGGTAGTGGCGCTCCTTGATGGCGTCGTCTAGCTGCTGCGGCAGCCTTTCTCTTGCGAGCGCTGTCTAATTTTTTCCAACCCTGAGATCCACCACCATCGACGGCGCGCTCTTTTGCCGCCCGCGCCCGCGCCCGCGCCCGAACTTTGGCCGCCCCTCGCAGTCGTCGCCGAACGTGTCCTTCATCTTGTCCACCCACCCTGTCATCGGCGCATCTCCTGGGTGGCTCCCCTGCGCCTTGACGAGCTGTAAACGGCCCACCTTGCACCAGAACTGCCGCGCGCCCCCTCTCGGGTTGGGGCTGGGGCCTCTCCGCCGCGGCTCGTTTGGGAAGGCGAGCCCGCGCGAGCAGCCCCCCCCTCCCCCCTCTTTTCCCCCCGTCCTGCGCCCCTCCTGCATGCGTTGAACAGCTGCATGTTGTCGCCCCACTTGTCCGCGAAGCCCAGCGCCTGGAGGTGCGCCGACTGTTTCTTCCATGTTCTTCGCCGTCGCGTAGTCGCCCGTCTCGTGCAGCGCATCCTCTTGCCCCTCCAGCTCTTGGTTTGCCGCCTCCAGCGCATCTTCGTCATTGATGTCCGTGGCCATGTACTTGTTGAGCAGGATGTCGCACTCTTTTGCGCTCTGTGGAGCCTCTGTCATGCTTTCCCCTGCTTTGCCCATGGCTTCAATGGTGCCCCCCGCATTCATTAGCATGCCCTCCGGCAGTGCCTTCGCTATCTCCTTTGGCCTGTCCATGGCCATGCTATTCCTTGCTGTGCGAAGCTTTTTCTATGCGCCTTCTTCTTCCGCCAGGAGTGCTTCTGCTGCCTTGATCTGCCCAAGAGCCTGGGCTGCCCACGCGGTTCCCCCTGCTTTCGCCTCCTGTTCTCGGCGGGCCTGCTCTCTCGAAGTACACTTCTCTCCCCCATGCAACGCCTTTTGTGCATCGCTCCGTTCTTCCCGGTCTTCCGGCGTCAGCTCCAGCTCGCAATCGATGGGAACTCTCTTCTATTCACTGCCATTGTCTCCTTTTTTGTTTCCTTGTTCTTCTTCTTCTTCTTCATGGCCTGGTTCATATCTCGCGCGCCCCCTGCGGCTCTCGATCATCTTGTAGTGTTGGAACCCCTTGTTGCAGCGCCCGCAGGGTCATGGCTGGCTGCTGCCCGCGAAGGCCATAGGGCAGCGCACCTAGGCCAACCTTGAGCCGGATCAGCTGTGGCAGCCGAGAATGATCGATGGAGGTGTTAGCGTATCCCCATCTGCCCTGTTAACCGCGTAGTTCCTTGTGCGCTGATTCCATTTCCTTCACTGAACGTGACCCGTCTTTACATTGTGCGTATGCTCTACAGTATGCGTAGTACCCCGCCCATCATCCCTCCGTGTCTGCAATGGAAAAAGAGAGGAATAATCGCGTCGTGTCGTAATGGCAGATGACGTCGGTTACTGACTGGGGCAGGTGGGCTCGGTGTTGCCAAGGAGGCCTTTCCCCGAAGCGTTTCTCTGCAACTCCGCTTCCTGTTCTGCTCGGAACTTCATGGCCATGTCGTATATCCTACAACGCGGGGCAAAACGTCCGAGTTTGGTGAGGCGCGCAACGCCCGTGCTGATTGATTCTGCTATTCTTCCAACATCTGAAAGGTGTCTCCCCCTCTTCGCCCGCGCGCAGCTGGGCGCGCCAGCTATGTCCAACTACCCTATGGGGGCCCTCCTGGGCGGCGCCCGCACTGCTTGATGCTGGCGCCGCCGGGCGCGCAGTGCAAGTGCTTATCCGCGTCGGCCGCGGCCTGGCGCACTTCCCCGGGGTCTTTGCACTCGGAGAAAGCCTCGCTAATGCAACTGCCCCCCCTGACCTTTGCGGCGCAGCACTCCGAGAAAACCCCGCCAATGCCACCGCCCCCTCCGTCATCAGCGGCGCCGGCGCTGAAGTTCCCGCCCCGCCATCCCCCGGCTCCGACTTGGGCGCCGCCGACTGGGACTTCTTCCCTCTCGCGTAGACGATCAGCATCCCCATCGCCATCCTCAGGTAGTGGCCCGCGAACTTGCCCAGCTTCCCCATGGTGTCTGCCGCCATGTCCTTCGGGGGGCACCGCTCTGGAGTTGGGGGATTTATTGGTGCCGATCTGGATATTGCCTGAGCCCTCCTCCGAAATTCCTGCTCGTCCTCGTTCGGGTTCCTGTTCTTGTTGATGCGCCCCTTGTAGCTCTCGCTGACCTTGCATATCTTCATCGCCTCTGTGATCCTGGCCAGGCTGTGCTCGCTGTTGCCCCCCATCGGCCTCGGGAAGTCGTTCAGGGTGTCCATTGCCATTTGATCTTATTTCTGCCAATCCGACGCCAACTCCTGGATGCTTTCCATGGGCGCCATCCCCGCGTGGATATCTGGTGGTCCCACCATGTGCCCCTTGCCCCGCCCCCTGGCCTGGCCCCCGTGGTTCTGCCGCGCTGCCATCGACTTCCGAAGCGCCCGACCGAGTGCTGACTGGCATCAGGAAGAAGTCCGAGGTCATGTGGTTCGCATCTCTGATCTCTGCTGCCGAGCAGAGGGCCAGCCGCTGGAGTCCGTCGATACACCCTCTGAGGTCGAACTCCTCGCAGTCGTCCGCTGCGCATGGCTGGCGGGGGGAGGGGGGGGGGCATGCGCCCTCCTCCTCGGCCTTTGCCGCCCCCTGCCGTCGCCGCGGCCGCGGCCGCCGGCGGGCTTCCCGCTGCCTTGGCGCTGGCTCTCCTTCCATCTCCGCGCTTGCTCCTCTTATGGGCGGGGGTAGTCTCCGCGGTGCTATCGCCATGTTTCAAACAATGCGGCCCAGGATGGCGGCAGCGCGCGCGCCTGAAAGCCTTTCAAGGATTGTGCCTGGAAGCCAGAGGGGACGCAGACAAGGCGCGGTCGGCCGGCATTGTTGTGGACGCGAATGAGCTCGAGCACCATGGGCACTGATTCGTTATCGCCAAGCTGGGGATCAGCGGAATACAGTTGTGCACCACTCTCCTGTGTCCTGCCAGCACCGCCGCCGTTGAACAATTTTGCTCCACGCGCCTGCCCCTCTGCCCCTGTTTCCCAATCGCGCCAAAACTGAGCCACCACTTCGCCCCCCACCGTAATTTCCGATAGCGTTGTATCCCAGGCCTCTCCAGCGTGGCGCAGGATACTGGGGCCCGTCCAACTCCGAGCCCCCCAATCTCGCGCGCCCTTCTGAGCATTGAGACGTCTGACTGCCTCCGCGGGCGACGGCCTCCGACGCCCTCGCTGACCTCTGCCAGCGCCTGGACCTCCCTGACCACCTGCGCAGCCCATGGCGTAGATGCTCGGCATGGCAGGGGCTGCCCAGCTTCGACGCGCCCAAAACTGCTGCCAACACACTGCCAAAGTCCACTGGCTATTTCGCCCATTGTCTGCACCGCGGTAGTCTGCGCATCCTCGGCGCTGTCGAGCAGCGCGGCGTCCTCCACCCTATGGAAACCTTATTGTTGGCGTAGCACCTGGTCGTTCCATATGCTTCTGTCCAGCTCATCCTGCCTCCTGTCGGGGAGACGCAAGACTCGGGCACGGAGGGCTCGGGTTGGCCTGACGGGGCCACCATGAAAATGACGAGGCCCAATCAGAAATTTGACGCGAGCTCCCGCTGCAGACATCCCACGCTGCAGAAATGGACCGTCGAAATCCAGGACGCGCTCGTCAACAAATGTCGGCAAACCCGAGTTCCAGCTTACTCGAGTCTTACGCTTCCCCGATCCTGCCGTTCTCCTCGCACGTAGCGTCATAGCACTGTCGAGTGCCATCAAGTGACTTGCCTCCGCTGCAAGTGCCGTCGGTCCTCTGAGGCCCCCTTCCGAAACAAAAACCCGGCCCATCTCCTCCTCTATCATGTCGGTGGAATCAGATGGCCAGAAGCATCCACATTGTCTGTGAGCCATCTGCGTGGCCTCACACCTCCTCCTGACCTCTCCCGCGCGCCCTTGATCTCCTGGTTGGTATGGCCCCAGTGCTCTCATCTCCCTTGTCGGCGTTTTTTTTTTTTTTTTTTTTTTTTTTTTTTTTTTTTTTTTTTTTTTTTTTTTTTTTTTTTTTCTTTCTCTCTCTCTCTCTCTCTGTCCCTCTCTCTCTCTTTTGTTTTCCCTCTCTCTCTCTGTCTCTGCAACTGTCGCGCGGCCCCGTCTCGCCCTGGGCCTCGAAGAGCAACCGGGCGGTCAGTCTTGGCTGAGTTCGAACTCCATCCTCATCTCTCCAGCTAGCGCTCTAGGCGCTGCGTGGTGGCGCTGCTCTGCTCTGCACCCCCTCTCGCGCGGGCTTTTGGGCGATCCGAGATAACCTCGTTCTCGCCAATAGCCGAATTGAGCTGGGGGCCCAGGCGAGCCGAGAAATCCTCGCCTTCGCCAAGCGCCGACTGGTGCTCCGAGACTACCTCGCTAACTCCAGCCGCCTGCGGGGTCGGACCCGACGAGACAACTGCGTGGATCCTGGAAATGTTGTCCATGAGCGCGGTGAGCGAGAGGTCGTGCTCTTGTTCGTTGACTGGGCCTACTGCACCATGCGCTGCCTGCGCCCCCCCCCCCCCCCCCCCTTTTTGCCTGACGCCATTGTCCCGCGTTGGTTGGGCTTGCGTGTGTCATTGGAACCTTGGGCACAGGTAAAACACATTTGCGCACCTCGCGCAGTCCTTGCATGCAGCCAGTCGCCCGCGCATTCCATGCTCGACGACGTGTAGCGCAGCGCCTCGACGGCGAATGGTCGGTCCTCCTCTTTCGACGCGGCGAGGACTGACGCCAGCAAGAGGCTGCGTTGCGTGCTCGCGAGGTCGGTAGTGCAGTCGCGATTGGTGGCGATGGTGCTCACCCCCGCCGGCCTTGCTGTCTACTGTGTAACTTCGGCGCAAGTAACCGCGTTCCCACTCGATCAATGCGCAAGCACCCCCTGCGCCCAGCACGGGTGTTTCGGTGGTTTTCCTTGGTGGCGGATTCTTCAATGAAAAGCCATTCCCATTGAGCAGCGCGCGCAGGTCTCTTTCTCCTCCAACGCCTTCTTTCGGAGTGCCCGTTTCTACTGATGAGGAAATAGATCTGCGCCAGTCCAATGGAGTAGCTTGAGGTTGGCGACGCTTAATAAGGATGTCCTCCGGCTTGTTCCCGCGCCCCATACTCGCGTCCTTCTCCGGCGCCGAAGATCCCAGCCAAACTTTCTCGTGCCTCCCCAGGTGATGCGACTTTTCTGCTGTCGCCCGTAGTGCTTCGCCATCGTCGCCTGTCCGTCCTGCCTGGCGCCCTGTCCGATGTCCAACCCATTTTGTAAAATAAGCACCTTCCCACCCTGTAATTCTAGAGTGAGCTGTGCTAGCCCAGGCCCCCCTCGTCATCTCGCTTCTCCGCCGCCCGTGCTTTCTGCTTCTCCAGCACCATGTTCAGCTGCTCAGGGTCTTCCAGCTTGACTGTAGGTTCCAGTGGCGTCCGCGCTAATTCCGCTGGTTCTCCCCGCGGGGGGATAGCCCTCCTCTTCGCCGCTTTCCTGCAGTACTTCAGCATGTCTCTTTTGCCCCTCCCCACTTGGCTTTCAATGTCATGTCCGATAGGGGCGGCGTTCTCTGCTATCATCTCGACGTGCCCCATCTCGTGCTCTTCTTGGTCCATCGGTTCGGCCGCCAGCCCCCCCCTCGCGGGGGCGTTTGCCGAGTTCTGCTGGCCGTTCCTCTGTGCTTCGCCATGCCCGCGCTGAGAACAGGGCACCTCTTTTTGGTCCCCTCCCATTCCTCTGATACTCCACCCTAAGGCCGTGCATGTCGCTGGAGTTGTTGTTCTCGTGCGCCCTCCAGATTTATTCAGCCAACTTCTTCTCTCTTGCAAATTCCAGGTCTGTCCGGTCTCTGCGTAGCACATCTGGTATCTGGGTCAGCTCCTTCTTGGTATTCTCGAATATCTCTTGCGTGCCAGACTCTACAACGCCCGCTCTTAACTTTGTCCTCTCTGCCAGCAGGGGATGTCGTAGTAGCTGGGAGGCGGCCACCTTCTTGTCCTCATGTTTCTTCTCGATTGGGAATGCTTTTTGCATGGCGTTCCTGCCCGCCTCGCTCCATTTCTCCCGCATTTGGTCGGCCGTGGGGCGCTCCCGTTGCCCCCTCCATTCTTCTCCTGCCGTTGACCCCCCCCCTGGGCGGCACTCCGAGAAAACCTCGCTAATGCTTCTCCTGGGAGTTCGGCAGGTTCCTCAAGGGTTCCCCTCCGAGAAAGCCTCGCCAATGCATCCCCGCGGAGTACTGGGTGATCAGCCTGGGTCGCACTCCGAGAAAACCTCGCCAATGCTCCTTCGGGCTGCCGCGGCTGGGCGACCTGCAGGTGGCGGCCGACCGCGCCCAAGAAACTCGCCCTCAGGCAACCTTTCCCGGGGCGCTCCATCAGCATGTTGTGGCCCACTTCCTTGCCTGCTCTTTGCTGTCTGTGCTTGCCCGAGAAATTAAGTTGATGCTCCAATCCGATATCCGCGCCCAAAACGAATGCGGACTCTGTGTCCTCTCGGTTTTATAATATGATGTGTGGTTTGTTTTTTGTTGCCGCTCCCCTCAATGCAGCGCGCCTCCGCACATGGGGTGGGGCCCCTGACGGTAACGCTATGTGGTATATCTTGCTCGTTCTCATCTTCTTGCTTTCGCGCAGTAGTAGGTCGGCCCACAATCGATGAAAGTCGCGACGACTGACAACAAGCGGTGGACACAAAACTATTTAAAAGCTGTTTCACTATCATTTTCCACCTCCTCGGCAACTGGTGTCAATGCTACTACGCATTTGCCCGGGCTGCGCCTGATTACCGCCGAATCCCTGTTGTCTGACGACTTGTGTATAGTAGATGGTAGATAGTAGATCTGCCACCCGTGTCGTCGCACTTTTCTTCCACCCACTTCAGATTTTTGAAATAGTCCCATTGCTTGCGTGCCCTCTATCCGGCGGAAAGTACGCCGCGACCACTGGGACGTCGTATGCTCTCGCGTGCAGCCCAACGCCTGCCGTCATTCCTTGCAGCTGCGCAGGTGGTGAGCACTGCGCGTGGAGGGCCTTGTCTTTTCATCGTATCGCTGGATACCATAAACGCCGTACGACATGACTTGTTGATCGCTTTCCTTTCTTTGCCCCGAACTGCAGTGCCGCATGATATCTTTTGTTCGTCTTTTGCATCGGCTCTGGACCAGCTCAACTAATGTGTCCCCGTCAGACCAATCACATCCCCATCGCGTAATGCACTGCAAATTTCTTCCAACCAGGCCGCGGTATTCGCCGCCAGCGGGTGGTATATACCAGTTTCATTCATGCACATATCGAGAG